CCCCAAAACCCCAAAACCCCAAAACCCCTAGAGAGATAAAATTGAAAAATTTTGTATTATTATTTATAATAGTTACTAATAATGGACAAAGAATAGGACAGCAAATTAAGGTCAGCTCAAAGTCTTTGGAACCAAGGAGAGAAAGCTAATGCTCTTAAATAATATGAATCTTTGGCTATAGGATTTGCTACTCCCCAATGCATTGTAGAATATGCGTAAAAACTATACGAATCAAATGAATACGTGAAAGCTAGATTTCAACTTGTTAAAGCAATAGATAAAATGAATTCAGACGCATTTGAAAAAGACCCACTCACTCCCAAAATAAGATGTCTAAACTTATTTTTGTAGGGTATGATAGCCAAAAATGGTTTTAAAAATAATTTGGATGCAATAAGATTTTTGGAGTAGGCTTTTAAATTAGCGCCTGAAGATGAAGATGATGCACTTAGGATAAAGATATAATAGAATTTGAAGGATATTTCTGACGATTCTAGAATTGAAGTTGAAGTTCATACTGAAAGTAATAAAAGTGAAGCCAGTACTGCTTAATCTTAATAAAATGAAGATTCAACTGATATCGAGGATTTAGAAGCTGATCCAAAAAGACTGGCTGAAGCTAAGGAAGTGAAAGAAATGATTGACAGAATGGATAGCCTTGTCAAGCCTGGAAGCATTTGGTATATTCTTTCAATGGAGTGGGTTAAAAAGTGGCAAAATTACACATATTTTGATCATCTCAGTGAAGACAAACCTTAAAAACTAAGCTTGCAAGAGAGATTGTAGCATCCTGGCAAGCTGGACAATAGTTCAATTATACAGCCACTCGATTCTAGTACCTAAATAACAGAGCAGATGAAGGTAAGAATCTGGATGAATGTGCACTTGAAACCTAGTCTCAAAGAGGGAGTTGACTTCATGCTAGTTAGCCCAGAGATCTTCAACTATGTGCAGATTAAATATGGATGTGATCCTACTTAGATCATTGAGAGAAGAGGTATCGCAGTAGGTGACGAGTACTCGGATGAGGGAATCGTTGAATACTACTTCAGGCCTTTCAAATTCTGTGTCATTCCCAATACTGCAACAAGGTTTTAAAACATCAAAACTCTCTATTTATCAAGAAAAGAGCCAGTTTCAGAGTTGAAAAAAGCTTTGCAAAGGGCCATCAATCAGAGACTATACCAATTAAAAGACAAATCCATGGTTGTGTTAATGAGGCTTTGGAGATTCGATTCAACCAAGTAAGACTAAATTGAAGTGATTGCCAAGAAGTATAAAAACTACACTGAAGTTAAGATTGAGGGCAGTTGCTTAAACTCTAGAGCAGAGGATGAGAACTTAATTATCGAGGAACTTGATGTAGCAGAGGAAGACCTGATCATTGTTGAGCTACCAAAAGGTAAGGATACATGGACCTTCGCACCTGATGGAGAAGTGTAATAGATTGAATAGGAAGAAGAAGCAGAAGCTGTGTCTCTTCAGCAACTTATTGGGAAAGACTTAAAGTAAGTATTAAAATCCAATTCAAGAGTTGGTATCTGTGGCCTTCAAAACCTTGGAAACACCTGTTTTATGAATTCAGGTCTGCAATGCCTGTCAAATACCATTGAGCTTACCAAGTACTTCTGCTTCAACTAATACAAATAAGATCTAAATCCCCAAAATCCACTGGGTATGGGAGGTAAGCTAGCCATAGCTTATGCAGAACTAATCAAAGACATGTGGTAAGGAAGTAGCGGTAGAACAGCTCCACATGAGCTCAAGAAAGTAGTTGGGAAAAGAGTCACTAAGTTTAGTGGATTCGGCTAGCAAGATTCCTGCGAGCTTATAAACTACGTTCTTGATTTGATGCACGAGGACTTGAACAGAGTCAAGAAGAAGCCATATGTAGAAATGAAAGATTCAGAGGGGAGACCAGATGAAATAGTGAGTGCTGAACACTGGAATGCATTTATTGCAAGGAATAAATCGATTATTGTCGACCTCATGTATGGCCAGCTCAAGTCAACTGTTTAATGTCTTGAGTGCAACAATATTTCAATCACTTTCGATCCATTCCTCACTCTCTCACTTCCTATTGCTAAACCTCACAAAATAAGAGTTATTTATGTACCATATGAACTCTTCTCAGGTGATAGTAAATTACCTTGCAAAGTATTTAGCATTGCTGTTGATAAGGAGACAGTAGAAGTCATGGAATAAAAGGTAAATGAATTAGTTTCATAATAAGAGGAGTCAAAAGAGGAAAGACATTTAATGTCTGTTAACTTCCATCTTAGAACTGGAACTATAACAACTAAGTTCAGAAAAGATTAATCATGCTAGGATATTGATTAAGGAACTGAAGACACTCTAATTTTCGAAGTTAGACCACCTTAAAAAAGTGAAATGGAAAATTATAAGCAAGTAGAGTTAATATTTATGAAACAAGTAAAATACGGGAAAATAATTTCTGGTGAACATGTTGGAAACACTCTTCCAAGGATGGAGTACCTACCATTAAACATGACTATACTTTAGCTTAAGAAAATGATTTATGATAAAATAAAAAATATCTTTAAGACATCTCTTGATGACCAAGACATTAACAGATTCATTCTGCTACATGTATATGACAATTTACCTATGATTTAGGCTAGTAAATACTCTAGAAAGAGAGCTACATGTGAGTTCTGTAACGATTATCATGGTCAAGCTGATACATGTGATATCAAGATAAATAAAATAAGTGGTAATTCAGAGGATGGTGCCAAGTAAATCACAATTAAAGACATATTTGATCAACTTTAATATAAGAGAGATGTAATAATTGGTGTAATCTTTAGAGAAGGAAGTGGTGCAATGATGAAGTAACTAGACCCTGAGCTAGATCAATCTCACTTAAAAGAAATGAACAAGAGTAAAAAAGAGACAATAACACTTTCAGAATGCTTCAAAGCATATAGTAGAGAAGAGTTACTCACAGGAGCAGATCAATGGTATTGTAACAAGTGTAAAGAGCAAAGAGATATTCATAAAAAGCTTGAATTATTCAAGGTGCCTAAGATTTTGATTATCCAACTTAAGAGGTTCTAATCTAAAAGAAGCGCTAGTTCCAGTGGAAAAGGAGGATATATGGCTTTAGCCATGGCTCAAGTTTGCCATCAAGAAAAGGTAGGAGACTTCGTTGATTTTCCAGTTAACAGTCTTGATCTTAGACCATACATCAAAGATACTAGCTCAAGCGAACCTGTTTACTATGATTTGTACGCAATCAGCAATCATTATGGAAGTCTAAATGGAGGGCACTACACTGCTTATGGTCTTAATGCTGTTCAGAATCAATGGTATGAATTCAATGACAGCTCAGTAGGTAGAGTTTCTAACGTTAATGAGGTGGTGACTTCTGGTGCTTATTTGTTGTTCTATAGACGTAGAGAGTGAAATAAATGATTGTATACGCTTTTACTGTAGTGTTAATTTACCTTCTCATCACTTAATATTTATTTTCCCTATTATCAGCATAGCGGGGTTTTGGGGTTTTGGGGTTTTGGGGTTTTGGGG